AAAAAAAAAAAAACAACAGAAAAGCAATGATCTATATTTATTTTTTCCTCGTCCGTTTTCTTTTTTGTTTCTTTTTCCCTCCTTCCTACCACTGTCCGCGTGCTTCCACATTGCACACCACGAGGACATCTTGCAGTCCTTGTGGGAGGTTCCCATGGGGCCACCAGCTTCCTGCCCCATTGCCATCCCAAACCTCTCCCGACCCCCCTAAAGTTGCGGCGCGTTAACGGCCGCAACTTTTTTTTTATAGCTCCCCATCTGTTTTTTTAGCTTTTTGTTTTGTTATGTTTCTTCTGATTTCTCTATTTATAGCGTTTTTACAAATGTTCCTTCTTGCATTCTTGCTCCTCCAGATGCACATACTATAATTAAAGGCAAAGAATATTGAGTTGCATATTCAATTAGACGCGTGAGTTTTTCTCCTACAACAGACCCCATACTACCACCCATGAATTGAAAGTCCATTACCCCTAAAGCAACAAGTATCCCATTTAATTTACCAATCCCTGTTTGTACTGCATCGGTGAGACCTGTTGGCGAGGTACTGGTGGTTTAACATGGAGTGACAAACTGACAAACTGACAAACCCCACTGACCTATGGGGTTCATTTTGTGCAAACCCAGACTGCCAAACTGCCAAACTGACAAACCCCACTGATCTGGAGGCCCTGGGCCTGTGGTGGTTACAAGTGCCCAACTGCCCGCAGCCTGAGAAATCATAAATGACACTCCAGAGTCGAGACTGCACTTGTTCATTTTTTTTGCAAATCTGTTTTTTGTTCTTCACAATCAAAATCCTGTGGCCCATTTTTTTTTTGGCAATAAAATACTCAGCACTGCCAAAACCCAGTTTTTGCAATAAAATAGGCAGCATTTTTTGCAAATCTGTTTTAAAAACCAACAACAGTATCCCACGATTTTTCGTATTTTCATGAAGATATGATTTTTGATCATTTTTCGTGAGGAATAATGTTCCTAGTGGGCCGAGGCCCCTGAGTATGATTTTTGTGTGACGGTCTGCAATTGTGAAGTCTTCGATTTCGACGTCTTGTCTAAGATGTGTCCATCATGTACGGTATTATGATTTATCATTTATGCAGACTCTATATGTTTTATTGAAATTTATTCTTTGTTTCTGTTTTAAAATTTAAACCACCAGTAGTTTTCCTGCCCAGTTGCCCAGTATGTGTCGGTGTATATAGCATTTCTCGTCGCTTTTTCGCTTTTATTTCATGGCACTCTGGTTGTTGGCCTTTTACTCGAAGGGGGGAGAGGTTCAGGCTGAGATTGAGGGTGTGAGGCCTCTTGCAACCTCTGGGATTTTTGGCTTCTTTCAGTGCTACGGTCATCATTGTATTATGCCTTCGGCACTAGGCCCTTTGTGTGTGTGTGGGGGGGGTGGGGTGGGGGGGTGGGTGTGTGAGTATGGGGCGAAGAGGTTCCTGTCCCGATACAACCTGCTCAGTTAATCCTCTGGACCCCAGAGCAATCAATGCTGGCAGGGTTTTCTCTACTTCAGTCTGTATTTTCACTATGTATATGGGACGCTGGACCCGCTTTCCAGCAGGTGATGCTCCCCACCAATAGATGGAGCCTCTCCCCCGGTGCTAGCGGTGTTTGCTCTTACCAGCACCTCTAGCACTGGAGAG